CTCACCACACAGAGACCGTATACACCACTCACCACACAGAGACCCGTAGACTCACCACACAGAGACCCATAGACTCACACACAGAGACCCATAGACTCACCACAACAGAGGACCGTAGACTCACACACAGAGACCCGTAGACTCACCACTCACCACACAGAGACCATAGACTCACCACACAGAGACCCATAGACTCACCACTCACCACACAGAGACTCATAGACTCACTACACAGAGACCCGTAGACTCACCACTCACCACACAGAGACCATAGACTCACCACACAGAGAACCCATACTCACCACACAGAGACCCATAGACTCCCAACAGAGACCCTAGACTCACCACTCACCACACAGAGACCCATAGACTCACCACACAGAGACCCATACGACTCACCACTCACCACACAGATGACCCACAGACTCACCTCACCACACAGATCACCACAGACTCACCACAGACTCACCACTCACCACACAGACTCACCACACTCACCACAGACTCACCACACTCACCACACACTCACCACACACTCACCAGACTCGCCACAGACTCGCCACAGACTCGCCACAGACTCGCCGCAGACTCGCCGCAGACTCACCACAGACTCACCACAGACTCACCAGACTCACCACAGACTCACCACAGACTCACCAGACTCACCACAGACTCACCACAGACTCACCAGACTCACCACAGACTCACCACAGACTCACCACAGACTCACCACACAGAGACCCGTAGACCACAACAGAGAACCATAGACCACCACACAGAAACCCATTAGACTAACCACTACCACCAGAGACCCATAGACTCACCAACGCAGAGACCCATAGACTCACCACACAGAGACCATAGACTCACCAATCAACCACACAGAGACCGTGAGACTCACCACACAGAGACCCATAGACTCAACATCACACACAGAGGACCCATAGATCACCACTCACCACACAGAGACCCATAACTCAATCACCACACGAGACCCATAGACTCACCACACAGAGACCCATAGACTCACCACGAGACAATAGACTACCACTCACACACCGACCCATCGATATCACCACCTCACACAGAGACCATAGACTCACCACTCACCACACAGAGACCCGTAGACTCACCACACAGAGACCCATAGACTCACCACACAGAGACCCATAGACTCACCACACAGAGACCCATAGACTCACCACTCACCACACAGAGACCCATATACTCACCACTCACCACACAGAGACCCGTAGACTCACCACTCACCACACAGAGACCCGTAGACTCACCACTCACCACACAGAGACCCATAGACTCACCACTCACCACACAGAGACCCATAGACTCACACACAGAGACCCATAGACTCACCACTCACCACACAGAGACCCATAGACTCACCACACAGAGACCCATAGACTCACCACTCACCACACAGAGACCCATAGACTCACCACTCACCACACAGAGACCCATAGACTCACCACACAGAGACCCATAGACTCACCACTCACCACACAGAGACCCATAGACTCACCACACAGAGACCCGTAGACTCACCACTCACCACACAGAGACCCATAGACTCACCACACAGAGACACCAGAGACTCACCACTCACCACAGAGACCCATAGACTCACCACTCACCACAAGACCCATAGACTCACCACTCACCAACACAGAGACCCATAGCTCACCCACACCAGAGACCCATAGACTCACAACACAGAGACCCGTAGACTCACCACTCACCACACAGAGACCCATAGACTCACCACTCACCACACAGAGACCCATAGACTCACCACTCACCACACAGAGACCCATAGACTCACCACACAGAGACCCATAGACTCACCACACAGAGACCCATAGACTCACCACTCACCACACAGAGACCCATAGACTCACCACACAGAGACCCATAGACTCACCACACAGAGACCCATAGACTCACCACACAGAGACCCATAGACTCACCACTCACCACACAGAGACCCATAGACTCACCACACAGAGACCCATAGACTCACCACACAGAGACCCATAGACTCACCACTCACCACACAGAGACCCATAGACTCACCACTCACCACACAGAGACCCATAGACTCACCACACAGAGACCCGTAGACTCACCACACAGAGACCCATAGACTCACCACACAGAGACCCATAGACTCACCACTCACCACACAGAGACCCGTAGACTCACCACACAGAGACCCATAGACTCACCACTCACCACACAGAAACCCATAGACTCACCACTCACCACACAGAGACCCGTAGACTCACCACTCACCACACAGAGACCCATAGACTCACCACTCACCACACAGAGACCCATAGACTCACCACTCACCACACAGAGACCCATAGACTCACCACTCACCACCCAGACCCATAGACTCACCACTCACCACAGAGACCCATAGACTCACCACTCACCACACAGAGACCCATAGACTCACCACTCACCACACAGAGACCCATAGACTCACCACTCACCACACAGAGACCCGTAGACTCACCACTCACCACACAGAGACCCGTAGACTCACCACTCACCACACAGAGACCCATAGACTCACCACTCACCACACAGAGACCCATAGACTCACCACTCACCACACAGAGACCCGTAGACTCACCACTCACCACACAGAGACCCGTAGACTCACCACTCACCACACAGAGACCCATAGACTCACCACACAGAGACCCGTAGACTCACCACTCACCACACAGAGACCCATAGACTCACCACACAGAGACCCATAGACTCACCACACAGAGACCCGTAGACTCACCACACAGAGACCCATAGACTCACCACACAGAGACCCATAGACTCACCACACAGAGACCCATAGACTCACCACTCACCACACAGAGACCCATAGACTCACCACTCACCACACAGAGACCCATAGACTCACCACACAGAGACCCGTAGACTCACCACTCACCACACAGAGACCCATAGACTCACCACACAGAGACCCATAGACTCACCACACAGAGACCCATAGACTCACCACTCACCACACAGAGACCCATAGACTCACCACTCACCACAGAGACCCATAGACTCACCACTCACCACACAGAGACCCATAGACTCACCACTCACCACACAGAGACCCATAGACTCACCACACAGAGACCCATAGACTCACCACACAGAGACCCATAGACTCACCACACAGAGACCCATAGACTCACCACTCACCACACAGAGACCCATAGACTCACCACACAGAGACCCGTAGACTCACAACACAGAGACCCATAGACTCACCACTCACCACACAGAGACCCACAGACTCAGCACACAGAGACCCGTAGACTCACCACACAGAGACCCATAGACTCACCACTCACCACGCAGAGACCTATGGACCATAACGGTGAAGTATGGTCAACGGAGTCACATGACCGGCGTTCCATCCTCCCGACAGGAGGAGCGACCTGTGACCTCCGAGTCCGAGGTCGTGACCTCGGGCGAGGTCACGGGGTCCAGCGAGGTTGAGCCTGGGGTCAGGTCGGAGTCGGAGGTCGTGACCCCAAGGCGTGTGACCCTGGAAGCCGGAAGTCAGCAGAGGTCAGCAGCCATTGCTCCCAGGTAAGGGTCAAAGGTCAGGGTGTGGGTGGTTTAGTGGGTGGGTGGTGGGTGGGTGGGTGGGGTGAGTGGGGTGGGTGGGTGGGTGAATGGGGTGGGTGGGTGAGTGGGTGGGATGAGTGGGTGAGTGGGTGGGTGAGTGAGTTGGTGGGGTGAGTGGGTGAGTGGGTGGGATGAGTGGGTGAGTGGGGTGAGTGGGTGGGTGGGTGAGTGGTGAGTGAGTGGGGTGGGTGGGTGGGGTGAGTGGGTGGGTGAGGTGAGTTGGTGGGTGGGTGAGTTGGTGGGTGGGTGAGTGAGTGGGTGGGGAGGTGGGGTGAGTGGGTGGGTGAGTTGGTGGGGTGGGTGGGGTGAGTGGGTGGGTGAGTGGGTTGGTGGGTGGGGTGAGTGGGTGGGTGGGGTGGGTGGGTGAGTGAGTGGGTGGGTGAGTGAGTGGGGTTGGTGGTGGGGAGGGTGGATGAGTGGGTGGGGTGAGTGAGTGGGTGGGGTGAGAGTGTGGGTGGGTGGGTGGGTGAGTGAGTGGGTGAGTGGGTGAGTGGGTGGGGGGGTGAGTGGGTGGGGTGGGTGAGTGAGTGGGTGGGGTGAGAGTGTGGGTGGGTGGGTGGGTGAGTGAGTGGGTGGGGTGGGTGAGTAGGTGGGTGGGGTGAGTGGGTTGGTGGGTGGGTGAGTGAGTGGATGGGTGGGGAGGTGAGTGAGTGAGTGGGGTGAGTGGGTGGGTGGGGTGGGTGGGTGAGTGAGTGGGTGAGTGGGTGGGTTGGGTGAGTGGGGGGGGTTGGGTGGGTGAGTGGGTGGGTGGGTTGGTGAGTGAGTGGATGGGTGAGTGAGTGGATGAGTGGGTGGGGTGAGTAAGTGGGTGGGTGGGGTGAGTGAGTGGGTGGGTGGGTGGGATGAGTGGGTGGGTGGGTGAGTGAGTGGGTTGGTGGGTTGAGTCCGGTTTATGTGTTTTTTGGTTTTCACCAGGCGGATTCAACTGGTGACTTTAAGAAATCCACGGTCAAGTGTCGGTACTAACTCAGCCGCCACCCCAACCAACAACCGCCACCACCAACCCAACAACCGCCACCACCAACCCAACAACCGCCACCACCAACCCAACAACCGCCACCACCAACCCAACAACCGCCACCACCAACCCAACAACCGCCACCACCAACCCAACAACCGTCACCACCAACCCAACAACCGCCACCACCACGGCCAACCCAACATCCACATCTGCTTCGCCAGAGATAAAGAGACGGAGAGAGATGGACACGGAGAGAGACACGGGTGAGAGAGAGACACGGGGTGAGAGAGAGAGACACGGGTTGAGAGAGAGACACG